ATATATACACAGATAAAGAGCATGCCTATGGTAAAACAGTGACATAAATACATTTGTATGAAATAAAAATACTTATGATTTGAAATCATAATATTGATATGCTTTTGCTTTAACTAGGGAACGCCTGGAAAGGATGGTGAAGTTGGCCCCTCCGGTCCTGCTGGTCCATCAGTAAGTAGTAACCACACTTGGGCTAAGTACTGTACATATTGCATTTGGGCTATAATTTACAAATCATTGTTATTATTTATATTTAGGGACCCGCAGGTGACAGAGGAGAACAAGGACCACCAGGTCCCACAGGATTCCAGGTATTTTTATCTTTTATGCCATTATTTGGTTTTTGTATTTTCTACTAGAATCTTATATTTCTAGCCTCAATAAAATCTGAAATGTATACTAATATATACATACATTATCTTTTAAAACATGTACTCATTCTTTTATTTCTGCAGGGATTACCAGGTCCACCAGGTCCTCCTGGAGAGACTGGGAAGCCAGGTGATGAGGTAACACATTTAATCATGTACTGTGTTTGCTAGCAATTTCTAAACATAAAAGAAAATGATTAGTAGAAAAAAACTAAAATTACATTAAAAGGAATATGCTGTCCAATGCAGAATCCTCCCAATTGCCTTGGCTAATGATCTGAGGGCCCTGACAAAGAATCTAAATATAAGCCCCCTACCCTTAATAAATAAAAACAACCAATTGATTTTTAGGAGTATGCTGAGTGTACCTCTTGTTATTGGCAATGGTTATCTGTGTTTCTAATGTCAAAATTAGCTTATTGCAAACCAACCCAGGTAAATGCAGTGCATACAGTATGAAAAAATTATATCATGGAAGTCAACACTAACAACTAGAATTTTTTTTTTTTCAAAACGAAACTAAACTAAACGAATTTTTTGCTGGTGCACATGTCTACTAACAACTGTATCTAGTTGGCTTGGTTACAGTTTTTGGTCTCATCTCAAGACTGTCAAACATCTAAGGATCATGGGCCTTGTTTAGAGCCATCCTGAGGGTTTGTCAAACAATACAGCGGTTAATTTACTGCCAGGTATCTTTGATATTATAGGCCAACAGCATGCATCATTCAAGAAATATAACAGAACATTTATGACATAAACATTATACAAAGTGTCTTTACATGGCCCACATGAGCATTCCTGCAACATTTAACTAGATTTGTATCACAAAAAATATATATATTGAAGCAGATGGTTTTATACAATAGCACAATTAAGTGTGGCACTATACATGCCTAGTTGCACTTCCTGTAGATCAAAAGGACAGCATATTTATGTAGTTGAGAATTAAGTAAAGGAGTAAGCAGCAAATATTTTTTTATAAACTGTATTTATTATTTTTGGAAACATGCAGATTAATAAAATGTCTATATTTCCACACAGAAATAAGATAAAAAGTATAATAAGCTGCACTGTTTGTCACATATGGATTCATATTCAGATACTAAAAAGATTATTTTAATATGAATCTTTGTTCTTATTTTAGGGAGTTCCTGGAGATTCTGGAGCTGCAGGGCCACTTGGTCGAAGAGTAAGTGTTAACTGTACATTAATTTTATATATGAAATAACATTTGTGTAATATTTGTATTATTCAGTGTGAAAATGCATTAAATTATTTCATGTAGGGAGAGCGTGGTAATCCTGGTGAAAGAGGAGAACCGGGTGCTACAGGACTTCAAGGTGAAAAGGGGATGGCTGGAGGTCATGGACCTGATGGACTAAAGGTGAATTTTATTTCTTGGCTAGTGGTGGGTGAATATTTGCAAGCTTGATTCACTAACGAAAGTTAGAGATGAATCTAACTAAATCTAACTAAAGTTTATGGAAGGGAGTGAGGCAAAGCTTGTTGGTAAATTCCGGCCATTTTTTAGGGCTATTAGACAAATGGAAGTAAAAAGCATGGGAAGCTGGGCACTGCCATGGGGAACATGTACCAAATTAAAAGCAAAACATTTTGAAAAATGCCATATAGTGGGTGGATATTCTTTTACTGTTACTTCAATGGCAACAATGAAAATACACAAAAACTTTAAATAACATGCATAGGGAATGCCTTAAAGCCATGATGTTATGGAACAGAATGATTTTCTCAGCCACTGCGTTTACACAGTGCATATTTGGCAAAGGAGTTGGTTGCTCAAATGGCTAGCCATATCCACTTTGTTAGTGTTTCCTACAACAACAACAGCTCCCAATTCACTGACACTATGGCTGCTCTGTTCCCCCTTTTTTTTATAGTGAGGACACTGAAAGCCCTCTTATTGGTCCTTCTTGGCCTGCTGGTCATAATTCAAATATCATGAAGTGCATTATGGTTTAAAAAAATTCACCTGGGCAACTCTACACTAGAATTCACCAGGATCATGAAGCTTAAACCCACATAATTCCCCTCAAACCCATGGTAACGGTGAACCCAAAAGGCATCCCTATTCTTAGGGACATATTTTAGGAAGTAAAGGAGAGGATACATTCAAACATATGAAACCTTGCACCTCTCCCACATAGTATTTGTGTGATCACATTGTAAATGTTTATAGCTGCCACTGTATACGGAGTATAAACCTTACTCTGGTCTATTTAGACAACAGGCTTGAACATTTATTCACTGGTAAAATCATGTTTCACATACAGTCACTATATGACAATATTGCACCTTAATTTTATCCAAGTTGAGATTTTTATGAATTTTCTAAATGCATTTTGTTTCATAGTTTTTCATAGAACTGTCACTACTTCCCAAAAACACAATGAAGGGAATTTATCAAAAGTGGAGCAGACAACATCTGGAGCAGCTGTGCATGACAACCAATCAGCAGCCACCTTTCATTTTAAAAGCTTAACTGTACAAACTGAAGAGAGAAGCTGATTGGTTGCCATAGGCAACTGCTCCAGATTTTGTCTGCTCCAGTTTTGATAAATCCCCCAATTTATTTTGTTTACCTATGTTTGTTTACATTACGCCAATACTTTATAACATTTTGTTTGGCGATATTTATGGTAATGTACTAAAGTATTTTTACTATTAACTAATGTTATATTTGTGATTCTAGGGAAATCCAGGTCCAACTGGAACACCTGGTGATGTTGGACCGCCTGGTCTACAAGGTATGCCTGGAGAAAGAGGCATAGCTGGAACATCAGGCCCAAAAGGTGACAGAGTAAGTATGCTTATGTGTCAGAATTTTTTAATTTTGTATTGAGTGCAGAGGAAATAATATTTTTTTATGTATATTTATATTAGGGAGGTATTGGAGAAAAAGGTTCTGAAGGTACAGCTGGCAATGATGGAGCAAGAGTAAGTATAAATTCTTGGGCATCTGAAAGTGACAAAACATGATCATTAAAGCTATTCACCAGGAGATATAACGTCAGAATATGGAAGTTATATCAAGCATGGGTAGAGTAACTTAAAAGTGTAGATATTTTCAAAACATCCTTTGTGCTTCTTTTATAACGTATGTGAAATACGTTCTGTCTGTATTGTCCCCTGAAACCATTCACATGGAAACGTTTAACCTCAGTAATTTTCCAGTGTATATATGAATCTGTACATAATTATTTTTAATGACAGATGATATAACTAAGTAATAACTGTTGACCTTTCACTTAAAATTTGTTTGATTGCCTTTTAGTTTTAACGGGTGGTACTATAACATTTGTATCCGCTAGTAGTTTCTTTTGCATAGGATAAGGTTTTTCCCTACCAAATAACATAAGATATTCTTATTTTCTTTCAGGGTCTTCCTGGTCCACTTGGACCATCAGGTTCTGCAGGCCCAGCAGGTGAAAAGGTAGCTTAATAATATAAAATTGTATAATTCTAGGAAACCCCAAATCTAAGAAACGCATGACTAATAGTGATTTATTCTAGGGTGAGCCCGGTCCAAGAGGTGTAATGGGTCCAGTTGGGTCACGTGGAACTCCTGTGTGTATATGTAATACCTTTATTATAATATATATAAATATTTTGAAAATGTATATTTTCCCTTCATGAAATGTGGATTGATCTAGTTTACGTAGCTCTAGGACTAGAGATGAGCAAATTGATGTACCAGTTTAGAGATTTTGCCTAAATATGATTAATTTGAAGCTGAGAGATATAATTCTTCACTGATCTGTAGGTATTTAATGGCAGTCTTTTTAATACTTTTTAGATTTCTTTATGTTATTAAAATAGTAGTGGTCACTGTGTGTTTGAATTCAGAAACATTTATATGGACCAGTTCTTATACTGTTGGTATTATTGGTTATATAATTATCTTTTTTTATCTTGTGCTAATAATGACATGTTTTTTTTTTATCTGTCAGGGTTCTCGAGGAGAAAATGGCCCCACAGGTGCTGTTGGTTTTGCTGGTCCACCGGTATGTTTCTTAGAACTGTGCACAACATTACACAATTCTTCTCACATTCAATACTAAATAGCCATTAAATTGATTTCAGCTGCATTGTACAATTAAAGAATGTGAAGACTGCAACAACCGAAAAATAATGTATATCCTTTGCATTAATACGGCAGATATATTCACATTGTATTGTAGATTACAGTTAACAAACATTTGTTCTGAAAGCCTTGCTCAATATGCTAATTAGGATCAGAGGCTTGCTTTTCAGTAAACATTATTAAATGTTGACCTCCCACATATTTTTTTTCACAAGATAAGAGCAAACTTTCACAGTATACTTCCACAGTTAAAGCATTTTTATGGTACTGATGAATGGCAATTATAAAACAATTACTCAATCAGCCAAACCGAAGGGCGGCCGAAGGATCAGCCGGAGCTACGGCTGATCCTTTGGCTGGCTTTGTGAATAACCCTCTATATATCTGTAGAATACGTTTTTGTGGTGTAGTTATTTTATTTTTTGTGCTACTGCCCATTGACCAATATCTTTAATCGTAACATGCACTTTTATGTCTTAGGGACCTGATGGGCAACCTGGTGTGAAAGGAGAACCTGGAGAGTCTGGTCAAAAAGGGGATGCTGGATCTCCTGGTCCTCAAGGTCTTTCTGGATCTCATGGTCCACATGTAAGTAACAAGGTTGTCGACAAGCAGCCTGGCAACCACCATTTGTTTACAATTTTATGACGTGACCTGTACAGTTTTTAGAGAACAGCCATTAAAATCATGTTGTATCTGCATAATTCAGAGACCATGTTCAAATACAAGTGATAAAGCAGTGCCTAAGTATTTTATACACAAGGAATATACTGTACACATAATATTGAAATTCAATAGGGTTCCTTGACTCTAGCTTAAGTTTAAAAAAATAAAATATATTCAGAAAATATAGCCCTGGATATGATATAAAACTGTCATAATACATTATATTAATAGTGACATTTTGCAATCTTACATAACAGAAAGGAAAAAGTACAGTCTACACTAATTAATCCAATTTGTATAACTGTTTAATTTAAACAGTACTATGATGTATCGTATTGTTTCAGGGACCTCATGGTGTGCCTGGACTTAAAGGTGGTAGAGGAACCCAAGGACCCCCGGTATGTACAGATTATATTTAAACTTGAAACAGTCTTTATTTACTTTTTTTCAGCAGATAAGAGTGCACACAATGCACAATGTCTGACCCATGGATAGCAAAATCAACAGGATGAGTTAAAATCTAAATAACATCAGTTGATTACCCTGAAAACAGTCCATCATTGTTCTATGTTCTACTACAATGACTGTGGTATTGGTTTAGCATTGTAATAGACTAGAGATACTAAATGTAGTATACGAAAGGCATAGGTCATTTGTACACCTTTTGTTTTGTAAATTTTTTTTATGAAACAGAATATGATGCCTTAACTGGAAAAGCCTGGGGTACTGGATTTCATATTTTATTTTTATAAACAGAATTTACCCTTTCTTTTTGTTCTGCAATCTTTTCTTCCAGGAATATTTCCTAATGTTTGATGTATTTAAACTTAACTGCATAATAAGTTAAGTTATTTCATTTTTTATTGAAAGGGAGCAACAGGATTTCCTGGTTCCGCTGGCAGAGTTGGACCTCCCGGGTCTGCTGTAAGTAAATCAAGTACATGTCCTACACTTATCATCTGTAATGACGTAGAATGTTCTTCTATAGTTTTGGTTTGTTTAAAACTCCACTGTAACTAGGTGGCAGTTTTGTATATATTAAAATATCCCAATAAAATGAGTTTGTTATGAGCACTTTTTTTTTTAAATAAAAAACACTTTTTTTGACAATCAGTACGATGTAGACGTGTAACCCTGCAAGAAATTCTTTCAGTTCGGATCGATTCGGATTTTTATTTCTTTTGTTTTTTGGATTTTGGATCCGAAATTTGATTTGTTATTCGGATTTCATATCAATCCGAATTTTCATTTCGTAAAGATCCACAACAGGAAGTCACACGACCGTGCCTGTAATGCAACCCCCAACAGCCCGAAAAAATCTGATTGGCCAGAGAACAGTCACATGACTGATTTAGTTTAGTTCTGAACGAAATTCGGATACATTTGAATCTTTGTTAAAGGAACATTCAGATTCCTTTGCATTCAGACGTGTTCGAATTCGGAAATTCAGATGCATTTGGAACGAAATTTACATGTCTAGTAAGTTGTCTACTTTGAAGGATAGTTATCTTGTATTAGATTATAAAAATGGAAAGAGAAGTAAAAAAAAGTTCAGAGGATGCTGTATCTGCATGCCCACCACACATTAAATAGCAGTATTGTAGTCATTCGTACTCATACAAAGTGTATGTATTAAACAAATTCCAATTTGGAGTGGCACTTATTAGCCAACGTATGATGTCATAACAAAAATGCTAGTATAGTGCTGAAAATAAAATGTTTAAGATGGTGAGAACAATATATACATAATTTAGGCTCCATAAAGGTATAACCTCTGAATTAACTTTTGTTTTTATTGAGATATTGGACTTTTTTTTCAGGGAGCTGTGGGTGCTCCTGGCCCTATTGGCGATCCAGGCAAGGAAGGTCCACCAGGTATTCGTGGTGAGCCCGGGGCACATGGTAGAATTGGAGACAGAGGTCCTGCAGGCCCCTCTGGAAGTCCCGGTGATAAAGGAGACTCTGGAGATGATGGACAGTCGGTATGATTTGTTGTAGTTTGAAGAATGCTTTACACTATATTTTATGCCATGTTGATGTGGCAGAAATTTTTAATGAGAAACATTGGCTGCTTTGTTATAAGGTTACCTTTATGTTAAAGATTTACATTCTTTAACCAGAGAATGATACAACATGTGTATTAGTTCAAACTTATTCATAATCATGTAAATTGTGCCTGTAATGCCATATTACCTATCCTTATCCCTTATTTTGTGAGCAGAAAATCATTCAGTTTTTATTCAGTCATTTAAATTTAACTCAGTTAGATATAATCAGAAGATGCCATATTGGTTTGATATTCCTAAGCTTTGATTGGAATAGCAAGGATGTAAAGATCCAAAAAGCAGTCACACTGCTCCCCCACAGCCATAGAGGGAAATCTTTGGGTGCCCACCATCTAAGTGTGTCCTTACTCCAAAATCTGCTCACACACTGCAAACTTCACAAGGGGAAAAAAACGATCTATTCACTAAGCTGCCGTAGGCAGCCGAGTGAAAGACCGACCTGAAGTGAAGTGAGCCGAACGCTGTTCGGCTATGCACTCCAGGCTTGTACGGCTGATTTCAGCCATATATTGGCTGTAATCAGCCGTACATCGGGTGGCGTCACGTGGCTCCGGGTCGGCCAAACATGCTCAGCATGTTCAGCCGACCCGAAGTGCAGAAGGAGTTCGACTCAGCCGATCCAACATCTGGATCGGCTGAGCCGAACCTCCGGCAGGCTTCTCACTGTTGTTCGGTCTATTCTTATAGATGCCGAACAGCCGTGAGTGAATAGCTGAATGCCGCTGAGTGGCATTTGGCTCGGCTGTTCTGCTCGGTCCCTCTGAGGGACCGAGCAGAACAGAAAAATTGTTTAAAAAGCACAAAAAAAGAAATAGAAAACGATTGTGCGGAGCTAGCAGTGACAGCTAGCTCTGCCCAACAGTTTTCTATTGTCCGGCGGTTCTGCTGCCGTCAAAAAAAAAGAAAAAAAAACTCTCCCGGGCGCTCTGGGAGTCTCTTGCTCCCGGCCGTCTAGGAGAGAAACACTGCTTTTTCTTTTTTTTTTTCTGTATTCTGACATGGAGCCGTTTCAGAATATTAAAAAAAATAAAAGATATTCGGGAGCTGTACGGGCTATAGTGAATAGCCCGTACAGCATCCCTTCGGTTCTACTGAACCGAAGGATTGGCCGAAGCTACGGCTAGATCCTTCGGCAGCTTTGTGAATAGACCCCTATATTGTAGCTTGTACAGCTTCACACAGTCCTGCCTTAGGTCTGCCCCTCTCTAATATTTTTCACCCAATCACGGGCTTAATTGTAGGGATCTGTATTCGGACCTAGGCTGGGACTATGTGAAGCTGTATCAGCTACAATAAAGTTTTCTCTCAGCAAAGTTTGTGGTGTGTGGCCAGATTCCTTTCAGCAATGGATTTTAGCAAGAATGTAAAACTTAATGGATCAGAATCAAATGACTAAATTGTAGTTAATATGGGCAGCATTGGACCATAATGGGTTTAGACTACTCGGCAAAAAAAATTATAAAAAAGTTCTAAAGAGTTTGCTAAAAAGTTAAACGTTTTTGCAATGTGGGAATATGATAAATGCAGTTATTGTACATATTATTATTATAATATCAATATTGTGTCAAGGCCACGTTTTAGCGTTTCCACTATTCACAGAACAGCATATATTAATCTTACCTTTTTAATTTTATTCTTTTAGGGTCCTGATGGTCCACCAGGTCCAGCTGGAACAACAGGTCAAAGGGGTATAGTTGGCATGCCTGGTCAAAGAGGGGAAAGGGGAATGACAGGACTTCCAGGGCCAGCTGTAAGTACCTTTAGTAGTAGCTCGTATTGTGTTTGATAACTATATATTAAACAGTAGGTATGAAAAGTATTGGCAGGCACAACTAATTCCACTTTAGGAAATGGTGTGTGATTTTCCTGACTACCCCATATATTACACACTCAAAATAACCACAGGGTTTGCCATAGCTATGCTAGCTATTGATGAAATCAATTGATTAACATAAGCAAATGTGTTGATATTTTAAACATAACTCACCGGGGAAAAAGTCCTACCTGACAGGCGTGGGGGCATTATTATTTACTATTTTTAACCTTTATCAGTTGAATACCTATATTTTCATTAACTTTTGTCCTAATCATCAAAAACATCATAAAAGTATATCTAAATCCAAGAATACTATTTTCCAAGAGTAATTCAAGAGTAATTTGTTGCAGCTTACTAGTCCTTAGATGCGGTGGCTGCATTTGTTTTCAGTATCCTTCCCAGTAGATTGCCAGACAAAAATAAAGGAAAAAAACAACCTAAAATAATGCAGGCACATAATCTAAGGCCTGGTAATATTTACAAGTGGATCAGATCTGGTATCTTTCATTTTGGTGCAGGAATGAATTCAGCTCAAAGAAATGAAAATGTTTGCACTGCCTAGCCACATAGTGAATAAGGAGAATTTACCTCAAACTATATTCAGAATATTTTGAATTTTGTGACAGAACCTCTGGGTAGACTTTTCAAACCATAACAGTATAAATTTAGCTGCTCATAATTGTATATCCAGAAATATGTTTAAATACATACCAGTCCTAATGTTTATGTTTGCCACCTTAGGGATCCCCTGGAAAAACCGGCTCTACTGGTTCTACTGGGGACAAAGGCCCATCTGGTCCCATTGGTCTTCCCGGTGCTAATGGTCCTGTTGGTGAACCAGGTGCAGAGGTATAGTATATGTGTTTATTTTCTTCTAAGCATGAAAACATATTATTTGAAAATGAATCCTTAGAAGTCAATTGCTATTGTGCAGACATTTAACATGTCTAGGAAATAGCATTAGTTATTATTAAATAAATGAATTATTTAATTAAAATTATTTAAAAAAAACTACTCATCTACACCCATATTGTATCAGTGATTATTATTCTTTATTAGGTTTAATGCTAATCTATTCTAAACTAAAAAAAATATTTTAAAGTGTAAGTAGCTAAGAAATGCAAAATGTAACTTTACATGCAGTCCTTTTTGCACTGTCAATATAGTTAAAATTCCCTCCCTTGTCAAGTCTCCTGCCCCCTTGGGTTTTGCAGTCATTTGTTTCCAAAGGCATCTATTAAATATGTATGATTATGTTTTCCTAATCTATCTATCTATCTATCTATCTATCTATCTATCTATCTATCTATCTATCTATCTATCTATCTAACAAAGGGCTATCAAACATGAAAATGTAAGTTAGCAAACATGCCAACATATGTATTTTCTAGGGTCCTCCTGGTAATGATGGTTCCCCTGGACGTGATGGAGCTCTTGGAAAACGTGTATGTAGGCATTTTATGTGTTTTTCATGAGAAAGTTGTTTCCACTGGAAATTATATTTTGCCATCTGTCATGTAAACAATGAAGTCAGAAACTAATTTTTTTTCAAGGATATAGTTTCAGTGACTTATGAACAGAACTATCTTGCAGATCTGAATATATTTTGAGGTCTAATAAACAAACAGCTAAACATAATGCTTATTATCCCATGAGAAGATGCACTAGAAGTTGTGTCTGCTCTGTGGACAGAATAGAACACTATCTGATTCAATGCAATTAGTGCCCTGCAGGTGCATGTCATCTCAGGCCTATTTTCTATCAACATTTTTTGTAAGATTTACCTATCTAGTGTAAACTGTTTGTAGGCGGGGCTGACTACACCACTCATTTAAAGCAGTGAACACACAGGTTCTGCACCAAAGAGCACCCCCTGATGACTGGAGTTGGTAAGCCAGTTCTCCAGTCTAGTTAGGGAGTTAACAGATTTGCAGGTGTGGTGAACCAAAGCTCCCAACTCACCCCACCAATTCCAAAAAAACACACACACAGTTTGCTATTTCAGCCCTAGGCCCCGGCAGGAGTTCACTTTCACATCTTCAAGAGGCCTCTGCTGCTCATGCAGTTCAAGGCCCAGTCCCTAGGAAAGTTACATCCACACCTAAGGCCCATGAAACACAGGGGCCCAAGTGGCACAGCAACTATGCCAGAGGGACTACACAGCCAGTGCCACAAACATACCTACTGTTACCAGACCTCAATATTAAGAACATTACTTCCCCCAGGTTTAGGCCACACTTAGTTTCAGGAATGAAGAGACTCTATAATTAGCTCAAACTGGCTTGCCTTTACTTAATTGATGGGGAATATGAAGAATTCAATAGCATTACATTTCCTCGATCAGTTCATCTTGATTTGTACCCACAAGAGAGAATGCTCTCTCAATAATGTGACCGGTTCCAGTTGTTAGCCCACACGGGAAAGAAGAACAGTGGCATCCCCCAAAGTGGAATAACTGGAACACTACATCTGGCTTTATGCTCCCCACTGGTATAGAAATACCCTGTTGCTAGGGAGGGAGACATATAAAGGTAAACTAAGGATGGTACACTCACTTTCACCCACAAATTAGTGAGAAGGCCTCACATGTTGATTATATTAAAGCCCGACAACAAACAAAATGTTTTATTTAGTTTTGGATAAAGCAGGAAAGGGTTAGGGACGCTGTAAGGAGGTAATGGTAAATCTCTCCAATAGGGACACAATCAAAAACAACACATTTTTAGTAGAATAAGTAAAGGGTCATACCTTCTGACACTGGGGTTGATATACTAAAAGTGAATATTCTTTTCACTTTTAATGTTCACTGATCTTAGTAAATAGGGAAAAGCTGTGTTGGCTTTGTTTACCCAAGTATGTGGGGATAATAAAAAAATGGATTTTGATTGCACGGGACTGGATTACTGATGTGAGTAGATCTTCAGTTAATTCATAAACTATGTGAACATACACTTTACAAAGTGAATATGCTGTATTCCTTCAGGCCAACCCCAGTGTTTCTGTTGGTGTCTTAGAGGGTTATTCACAAAGCTGCCAAAGGCAGCCGAGTGAATAATCCAGCCGAAGTGAAGTGAGCCGAATGCTTTTCAGCTATTCATCGGCTGCCTTCAGCTGCACTTCGGTCAGCCTAGCATGCTCAACATGTTTGGCTGAGCCGGAGTGCAGAACGACTTCGACTCTCCTTATGCAACATCTGGATCGGCTGAGCTGAAGCTCCGGCAGTTCACTGGCTGCCATTCGTCCCTATTCGTCCCTATTCTCAAATGGGCCGAACGGCAGTGAGTAAATAGAGCAGCATTCGGCTCGGCTATTCTGCTCGGTACGTCCGTGGTACAGAGCAGAATAGAAAATCAATGAAAATAGTTTTTTTTAAAAGTTTAAAAAATATATATTTTGAAATGTAAATAAATATTAAATTTAAAAAATAAAGATTTTTGAAAAAATAATAATAAAAAACTCCAAAACAATTGGGCGGGGCTAGTAGTGACAGCTTGCTCCGCCCAACCGTTTCCTATTGGCCGGCATCTGCTAGTCTTCAAGTAGGTACCGACTAATGAATAACAACTGGGCGCCCAGCTGTCATTTGGGAGGTTGTACAGCCCCGCTTCGACTGTCGAGCTGAAGCATATGCCTTCGGCTTGGCTGAACCGCTCGGCCGCCTTTGGCGGCTGTACGGGCTATAGTGAATAGCCCGTACAGCAGCCCTTCAGTTCGACTGAACCAATGGGCTTCCGCAACTGCAACTAGCCGAAGGATCAGCCAAAGCTATGGCTGGATTCTTCGGCAGCTTTGTGGCTAGACCCCTTAGTGTCCCAGTAAAGACCATCCCACCCATTTCTTGTACGGATGTCAAAGGGACAGCAAGTAAGGGAAGATCTCACTAGCGAGGTTACAAACAGAAATTAAAAGCTGAAAGAAATGTTAACTTTTTCCCTATCCATAACAAAAAACTAATTTGGACTGGAGTTAGACTTTAACAGGTGTGCCAATTATGTTTTTATTATTTGTCATTTGAAATAAAATATATAAGCAAATCTCACACATGCAGGTTAAATGGATTCAGCATGTGATTGTAATTTTGCAGGGTGATCGTGGTGATCCTGGACCTGAGGGTCTAGCTGGATCTCAAGGTGGCCCAGGAACACCAGGACCGGTAGGCTCACCAGGAGAAGCTGGGCCAAGAGGTGAAACAGTAAGTCATTTTAGTCAAATTATATTCACCATCAATTAAATGGTAAATAATCCCGTGGTCCCATGGGTCCTCCAGGTAGAGCTGGAAAACGAGGCTTTCAGGTATATTAATTTTATATTTCTAAGTGAAAGTTATGTTGATATGTGCTTCTCAAACCAAGGCTTTATTTATATATATTTTATATATATAGGGACCCCAAGGACCTCGTGGAGACAAAGGAGATAATGGTGAACGTGGAGATAGAGGGCAAAAAGGACATAGAGGTTTTACTGGTTTGCAAGGTCTACCAGGTCCACCTGTAAGTATTATGTTTATAATATAAGAATAATTCCTATCCATAACCTCATCGAGCATTGCTTTCACTTATATTGTATCTTTTGTTTGTCACAACTATAAAAAATACTTTATTCATTAATTTTCTTGTAGGTTCTTGAATCCTTTGGTTTGTGGCCCTTCTTTCCACCTGCACACACATTCAAATTACTCTATGGGCCAAACATCAGTTTGATTTGTGGGCAAAATGTGTGGGAAATCGGTTGAGTAAACAGACTCTTGTAGAAAAAAATAGAAGTTGCTTTTTAGAAATCTCAGTAAACATAGGTAGTCACGCTTCTGATATTGTCCAAAGAGGCAGAATCTTGTATACAATGCAAGTTCCACCTTGCAACTCCAGAAGCACAACACTCGTGTGCAGAGAAGGGTCTGTGTACCCATCCTTTAGATGGCAGATAAAATAAAGGAAATTAGATTTTAGCAAACAGTGTTGTATAAAGAACTATTAAAGAAAGAAGTCTGTAAACAGACTGAGGGGAATTTATCAAAACTGGAGCAGACAAAATCTGGAGCAGCTGTGCATGGCAACCAATCAGCTTCTCTGTTCAGTTTGTTCAGTAAGCATTGGAAATGAAATAGAGAAACTGATTGGTTGACATGCACAGCTGCTCCAGATTTTGTCTGCTCTAGTTTTGATAACTTCCCCTCGTTGTATTTTACTGTTATATATTCTGTATATATTTAAATGTATACAATATTCTATACATTTATTAAAGTGAATCTAGTCTCAGATGTTACCATAAAGATACATTAATGGTTTCTTTTAGGATTGATAAATAAAAGCTAATAAAAAGGCTAAAATGCATACCTTTGCCTGAATATATACTGATTCAGATTACGGTATTTTTAGAGCTTGATACATGTGTAAAGCCTGAGCCTTTGGTCACATGATTTTTTGCTAAAAGAGATGTTTAGCCAATCTCTGCTGAAGGGAAGGGCTTCAGTAGAGATTGGCTGAACCTCACCTTTAGCAAAGAGCTTGCAAGAGGAAGTTCAGCCAAACTCTTCAGAAGGCCTGTCCTTCAGCAGAGACCAAGTAATCAAGACCATAGTCTTTTCATTACCTGTAGATTGCAAGGACCGTTGTTTTCTCCAGGAAAGGTACGTTTGTATTTCAGCCTTTTAAATTCTCCTTATTTATCCATCCCATCTAGATTTCAAACATAACTTTATGTTATCATTTTTTGCATCTGTTTAATCTGATTTGTTACTTATCATCATAATATCTGTTTGAAACAAATGCACATTGTACAGTATATAGGTGCATATTCTTGAAAATGAGTCTACTAAATATATA